CCAGCACGGCCGCTTGCTTGCCCCCCTACCCTTGTCGCAGCCCCCGTTTTTTCGACACCCCGAGCTGTCCAACCCCGACCGCCTGATTTCAGCGCATCTGGCGGCCGAATTTGGAGCAGATCCAGCCGGATTCGAGCTCACCCGGCTGTCGGAGGCTGCGCCGTGCCATGGACTAGCCGGGTACCGGACCACACAGCCCCGGCAACGCCCCCAGGCCACATGCAGGTATTGACCCTGCCTCTAGCCGCTTGGATCTACCCGTCGCCGGTCTGCCAGCAAATACATCAACGTCGTCCGGGCTCGGTGCTGGCCCAAAGGCTCGTCTGCGCACCATTGCCGCTCGTAAAGTGTGATGACTGTCCACGAAGGGTCGTGCGTCGCGTGTCTATAATGCCGGGACATCCCATATGCGCGTTCGTCAAGTGCAAAAACGATGGGGTATGTGCTAGTTTAGCTTCGGTTGTGCTCCCGGATTCGGTGCATTTTGCATATACTCAAATTTTATTTTGTGTAGGAAGGATGCAACTTTTGGTATTGGGAAGAAAATACATCGATTTATTGATAGAACAAAATTTGATAGATGCCCATGCGCTTGTTGCTAGAATAGAGGCTAGAGATGAGACTAGATGCGAAGAAGCAACGTCTACTTCTTTAGACTCGAAGAAAAAAGAAGCATGCAAGATCAAAAATCCGCAGATCAACAATGAAGGCATTGAAAAGATACTAATCTAGCTTGCGGAAGCAATTATGAAAGTTGGATATCTTTTTTTTGCAGGATGAAAGTTGGATATTTTTTAAAATGTTTTTTGTGGTTCCTGTTTTTTTTGTCTTACTATTCTAGTCAAGATTTGGTGAATGCACTTCAATGTATCAAAAAAATCGCTGATGAAAATAATAATAATAATGCGGCGAAAAAAATGTATGCGGGTGAGATGCGGCCGCGCGCCCACCGGCGCCTTCAAAAATCCAGGCGGACGCCGTGCCATTGCCACCCCAAAAAGACGAAATCCGGACAAAACGGACGTCCGTTTGGGATCGTGCGTTGGAGTTGCCCTAACCATCTCTAGGATGGAGGGTGCTATTTCTCCAATTTGTGAAACCATGAATCCATCTATCCTTCCAAAACAAGACCATCTCACCATCTCCTAGTGTGATATTGATGAGACTATTGAAGATTAGCTTGGCATCTTTGTCCTCTGCCATGGGTATGCCCTGCCATGGCCTAGTCGGTTCCGTCCCCTCCGGAGCCACTCCGAGCAAACCCTAAGCGCGATGGCCTGTAGAGGGGTGGGGAGGATGAGCAAGAATGAGGAGGGGGCAGACAAACTGTGTGAGTGTGCGATCTGTTTGGACTGTAGGATGAGATCTGATGGTCCTAAATGAAAGTGACTGATGCAAGCTAAAAAAAATTAGGTGCCTGACGTGTAAGCGATCCCTAATTTTGATACAGAATGGATGTGCATTGGGCAGACAAACCCTGAAATTCGTAGAGACCCAGTACTACTGCATTTCTCTTTGGTATCATGTTGCCAATTAGTGCATCTCTCTCTGCACCAAGGACTACACCATGAACTACTTGCTCAAGGCAGTACCATGAGTCCATCATCTTTGGGAAGAAAAAGAAAAAATCTGCCCAATCCATACCTCCGCAAGTGCAACACACTTTTGGTGACAAAATATTGTACAGAGGCGCCAAAATTATTAGCGCCTGAATATTCACTGCATTGCTCTTTGCCGTGGCTAAGTATCATGTCTCCATGCATGCATGCATGCATGCCGAGCCCAAAGTCCGACGCGCCCGCCCGCGCAACCGCAACGGTTCGCGCTACGCACGGTGTCCATAGACCGGTCGGGACCTTGCATGCGCTGCAGGCTACGCATGCACTGTGTGCGCCTCGAACACGTGTGCCTGTAGCATGCAGTAGTACTGAAACACTTGGATGAAAGGAACGTGCAACGAATTCGCACCACCCAAGAACCAAGGTCCAACACTACTACTGGGGCCTCATTCGGTTTGAAGGATTTTCGTAGGAAAAACATAAAAATAAGGATTCCAGAGGAAAATTTCCTATGTATGCATTCGGTTTGTAGGAAATGCGTGCAGGAATTTCGTAGGAATACTACTCATTTCTCGTGTTTTTGGAGGAAACTACACATCCACTCAAAGCTCATTTTACGCGTAGGAACGAGGCAAGTCAATTCCTTAGGATGGCAAGTGCCATCCTATCATATTCCTATACTACTTCTAATTCCTATGTTTTGATTTCCTCCAAACCGAATGAGCCCTAACTTTTTTTTCTTTGAAGCTACACTACTACTAGCTCGACTGCCAAAATCAACGCTCACGCCCATGTTAATCTGTTTGTGACCCAGCACGGTCACCAAGGAGTATTATTACAGTGTCTGAGTGTCTGACGTTGCACTGATTTAAATGGTCAAAGCAAAGGATGCCGCTTATTTCCATGCGTGGACTGATGCAAAACTGTTTCCGCGATGGAAGAACTACGGCATGGCATAAGCAACGGGCCGAACAATTCACCCGATGCATACGCATAGCCGGCCCTAGCTGAGATCAACCGTACTCCCTCCATTTTTGCTGCCTCCATTGGTGCCAATTTTTACCCTTTTTTTTTAGCATCAGTACAAACACAAGCGCTCATATACACGTGCATACACTCATCCCTATGAACACACACATGCA